TCTTAGTGGTAAAGCTCTGCATCATTGAATGAGTATATAGAACTACTGTAGTAGCACCCACCGATGCATGTTATAGGTACAAGTTCGAGCTGTGTATGAGAGCTAGCCTGCTTTGCTTTCACTGATATTGTGCTGTTCGGAAACTTCAGAGTGGAGAGCTTGGTACGCGTGGCTTAGCGGCTGCATAAGTCGTGGTTGTAATATAACACGTGCAGTTAATGTGCATTTAAGCATGGCACGAGTGGCACTCGCCAGCTTGCTTCATTTATGAGGCCAGGAGAGAGGTTCCGCTGGAGCTAATGAGCCATGTAACAGCGGGTTTACTCCAAATACCGCCTCCTCAAGAAATTGTTGTTTCCCGTTCCACGCAAGGCGCATACTAACCGACAAGGTTTTTGTTGACAATTGTTTACACATCATGGTACCGAATATCTTCCAGCGTTCGCCTCACTACCCCGCCGACCACGAAATTGAATAGGAAAGCAGTGAGGAGGCATCCATGCAGTACGTCAGTTTTTGTAATTTTTGTGTTTTCTTATGCTTCCAACTTCGAGGATACAGATATCCTATTACACCGACAAACTTCCGATGTATCCGTTGCTGAGCAATCATATTAAGGAGTAGAGACCGGTCAGTTGAGTTAAATGTTTCTTGGAAATCCACGGATATCACGTGTGTGGGGTGGTTTTCCCGTATAGTGATGACAATGTGAATGTATGACCAACACAACCACTACCAGGCCTGAATCCCGCTTGCTGCTACTAAAAATCATCATCATTGATGGCAACAACTGGTGCGAACACTGATGCTTCATCACCGTGCAGCATATAACTTCGTTTAATAATAAGATAACCGTTCAGCTGTAACATCCTTTCGGTGCCCTGTTGCCATGCTATCCGAAAGAAACACAAGGGCTGAGATACTTCCAGGTTGCTCGAGCCCAGAAAAGATATCGATTTATTTGAATAAAGCTTTCTAATAGAGGGGAACATAACTACAGCGAAATCGCAGGTTCCTGGAACAAGTGTAGTGACATGTTCCTTAATGTCACATCAACCGTTGCATAGTACCACCAGCCGGATCACATTACTTGATGCATACAGCAGGGCGGGTAAGGTAAAAGCAGACTACCGGTGAAGCCTCCTTTCTTTGTGCATACTTTTTCTCCCCTCCCCCACTTTGTAGGCCCACCCATTAGGACTTATGACCTCATTTGACTTGCATCGGCCATGACAGCAAAATCTGCGCTTCCCTCGGCGCTGACAGTTTCAGGAATCTCGGGGTCAACCTTCAGGCCTCGACGCCCAGTCCGTCTAACTACCTTTAATGTTCGCGCTATGAAGCAAACAGGCAACAAGGTGCTTTGCTTCTACACTGGATCCGATTGATACTGATTTGTACCATGTATCAGAAACAAGAAATGAATATTCGAGTACACTCGTTGAGCTAACCGCACCATCATTTCTACCCGCTTCCGGATGCGTACCTACAGTGATCCAGAGACTGTGGTAGGATATGTAAGTGTCGGCACCGTCCTTAGCCACTGAGCTTAACGGTATTTTCTTGGCTGGATACCTCGTCTGGCAAAGTCGGTGAAGATGTCTCGCAAGTTGGAAGCTTATCGCTGCTCGGTTGTCGTGCTTGCATATGCTCCGTCCGACTGCAGCTCTGACACCATCAAGGATGAGTCTTATGGCTCCTTGAGTGCCTTGTTACGCCAGGCCAAAACCTCAGGTATCGTTGTGGTTGCTGGAGATCTGACCGCGGGGCAAAGCATCTGCAGAGAGAATCGGACAATGTTGGGTGGTCTACTTGGATCAGACTCCTCAACTGCTAAAAATGGCGGGCGAGCTATGTGTTAACCGCAAACTATCTTTATGCAATGATAGTTTTCGAAATAACCGAAATCGTCTGGCCACATAGCGCCCTCCTTTGGAGTATCAGCCGTGCACCCAATCGCCTTCAGTTACCGATGGCTCGGATCGATAACTCTTCATGTGCTCCCCGGGGCCACGTAAAATGCGGGTGAAGGGCGTGGAAAGTGAAAAACTTACAGATTTAGAAGTTAGCTGAATTCTTCAGAATCGTCTCCTGGAGTGCTTCGTTTACTCCAGTGTCGGATGTCAGTTTGTGCCAGAACAAATCGCCACATCTTTGCACAGTTCCTTGATTTTTGCCTATGGATTGATGACATCAGGTAGGCTAAAGCACTGGATATCGAAAAATAATGGCCTGTTTGAATTTTGGAGACATGTTCCTGTTGAACCCGAACGTCACGTGAAACCCGGGGTGTGCACCGGCGCAACGCCCACCAGACCAAAATCTTGTTTGCCACTTGCATCAATAATGTAGAAGCCACCGTAAGGTGGCGAAGGACAGGCAACATTAGGAGTCTTGCTGCAGATTTACCACATTCATCACGGGCTGTTTTGAAAAATAGGTACTGTTAACAAATACACCCATTCGCAAACAAACTTGGTTTTTCGGGATTTGTAGCTAGAAATAATTACAAGCTATCAGTGAGAAAACAATCCCATACTTCACCTCACTCTCGCAACATAATTCGGCACGAACCAGAGGCTATGGGTAAATCCAACTCAGTCAGAATCTTATTCGCTATTTAGGCACCTGGAAGGTGTGCTATCTGGAATATATAGGAGCGCAGACCGGAAGCGTCGACAAGGATGAGGGCAGCCCATATGACTGACATCTAACTCATCAAAACAACAACAACAACAAGAAATGCGAATGTCCCCATTCTTATGCAGACAAAGGGATGGTCATATCTGGCTCAAAGTCTCAAGAATCTGTCCAGTGACATCCTATCGTCCACACATTTTACACCTCGTGGTCCTACTACAAACATGATGGATACTTGGGAGAACGAAACAGCTTAATGGCTATCAGAGAGAAAAGACTGGATCAGGGGGACCTCTTGTCAGCCCCTCTCAAGCATCCTGAGTGGCCTACACCTCTTAGCACCCGGTCAGAGAATCTCGAAGGAAACTGATATCTCAAACACCACTGGCATCGATTAGCAGGGATGGTCACGGGAATTTCATCCTAGAAGGCGGACCTTACCAAAAACATCCATACTTTTCATAACCTTCGTCGCACCCATCTGCCAAATTATAAGTTGTTCATCTACTGGTATGCCCCACTCTGAAGCAGAACAACAGTTGTCTCGGCAGAAGATAAACCCGCATTCGTAGCACATGGTCGAGCCACCACAGCTGATAATGATAGATGCGACTAAAGTATAGTTCCAAAATCGGTTACGAATTCGCTGACATATGAAAAATTTTCCACAGCACCCAGTGCTTCCTCTTGGGTTTTAAGGGGCATTTTCCGAAGCTGAACTTTATGAACCATGGCTGTACACTTTGCAAGTGCAAGGCGCATGCCTAAGGATAGGATGGCGATAGTCAGTTCATTCAACAGAGACTTTACTGCACTTCATCTTCATATATGGGCGCACTGTTGTCTATGTACTCCAGATCGATAAAGTTCTCGCCAGAAATGATTTGAACACCAGGGTTTTGAAGACTTTCCAGTGTTCTTATCACCGACGATACGACTAAAGTATAGTTCCAAAATCGGTTACGAATTCGCTGACATATGAAAAATTTTCCACAGCACCCAGTGCTTCCTCTTGGGTTTTAAGGGGCATTTTCCGAAGCTGAACTTTATGAACCATGGCTGTACACTTTGCAAGTGCAAGGCGCATGCCTAAGGATAGGATGGCGATAGTCAGTTCATTCAACAGAGACTTTACTGCACTTCATCTTCATATATGGGCGCACTGTTGTCTATGTACTCCAGATCGATAAAGTTCTCGCCAGAAATGATTTGAACACCAGGGTTTTGAAGACTTTCCAGTGTTCTTATCATTTCACCGACGATAAATTTGAACAGGAGTTGAAAGGACAGACATCCTTGCTGGACATCGCTTTTTGTGGGGAAGCCTCTAACACGCCGAGAAAGATTCGACCATAAGGACCGAATTATGTTCACACAACACACATGTCATCGAATTTCCCCCCAACATCTATTTGAACATCTTGTCATGTTTAATGCGTGGATCTAAAAATTCTCCATACTTTTTAATTGTATTGCTATTTAGATTTTACTCACAGCAGAACCGGATACTTCAGAATGTCCGACAAACGTTCACGATGTTTGAAAGGCAGTGCATGGTCAACAGAACCTTCATGGATTTTTATGGAATCGCGATGCTATCTATGTTTAGACACGTGGCAAGATATAATATGCGTGTGTTTGCGTGAACAACCGCTGAGCGTATATGTGACAACATTTGAGTCGGTCCCAGAGGTAATATCCAACCTTTCCGTTAAAGTGCTATTTTCAAGATGCTGCTGCTGGAAAAAGTATCATCGAACGTGAAATCTCTAAGACTGATCGAGGCTGCGAAGGGATTTCGTTGTCTGATACTGACCACATCAGATCTACACTGCATTCAGGTGAATAGCATCTCAGACTACCGTCTCCTTGGGAAACATGTTGTGTAAGTTGTGTCCTTTGTCACCGAAGTTGGCAAAAGGTTCTCTCTTAAGGTTAGCATCGATGACGATGGGTCTCAGACATTAGTTCACATGGATTCACTCTCTGGGCTTGTGGCTATCACCCAGGGTCCTGATATTAGCATCTTTGATAGTAAAGTTAGTTTCCCACCTTCGTGAACAAAGAATATCTTTTCAGAAATCCTTGGACAAACTAATACTCCCTGGTTCGAATCCCATGCCTATACTCAATCTGATGTTTGTCCAAACCCATCCGGTCGTGCTGGCCACTTTCAGAGAGGATGCGTGCAAACTTTGGGACTTAGAGCGCAAGCAGCTTGTACATACTATACCTGTTACCAAATTGACGCCAAGCGCTGTTTGCCTACAGCGGGAGGAGCATTTGTTCCTCTACGGTACTGCGGATGGTCAAGTACTGCCTGAATTTTTAAATTTAATCGGCAGATATTAATGGTTAACATGTCGGACGGCCGATTCACTCAGTCAAGACTTTTATCACTACAACAGTATTCTGCTGTACTCACAAAATGTGCGCTATCCGAATCAGAGGCCAAGGTATTTAACAAACCAGGTAAGCCTGACCTTTACATGCTCATCAGAGTAGACCACAACGGTCGTCCTAAGTGGTCCACAGAATATCGGCTGGCTCCGAGAATATCTAACGAAGTCACGTTTCAGATATTATCCCTTGCGTGGATTACTCTGACTCCCGAGATGTCCATTCCGAAGTATGTCAATATTAGCGAAATTCACTCATTTGTAAACTAATTTGGTTTTACGAGAGGCATTATTTCGTTCATCAACGTCTGTCAGGGAAAATATGATATACTGATATTTTCTCACGGTATATAACCCTGAGTCGCTGATATTGTCTCTAGTTCGTCAGAGTTCAAGGCATGCTGCGCCATTCAGTACTGTTTTATTTTCTCTATACTAAGCAGTCAGTTGTAAATATTGAGCAAATTTTGATCGCTGCCCTTTTCGCTGAGCTGAGCAATTTGATTGCAAACATTTCATTAACAACTGAGATGACATCATCAGTGCGTTGTTAGTGATTGTAGTGGAGCATAACGATGGGTCAATGGCTGCTTTCTCAGTCCCTTTATTTGTATGTGACTAGATCGCAATTCATTAAGCAAGATAATCAGACCACATTGCAACACAAATCCCAAACGAACCAATCAAACTATGCACTAACCAACTCCCGCAAAAGTCGGTCACATCACAGAGATCAACTACTCTCTAAAAACCGTAAAAATACGAGCATAGATGGAAAGATCACCATCAACTACCAACCGATCAGCAGCTAGTAAACTCAGCTCGGCTGCCAATATTAAGAGATCGCAGAATTATATGTTCCTCAGGCTGCAACAAAGTCACCTTCACTAAATCGATTCGCGGTGTCTGGTTAGTCATTGAATAAAGTGAATAGATGTGGTTTCATTCGGACCGATCGGACGATACTATACTACTATCCTCCCATTAGATCATTCTTGAGCCTCTCTCGTAATTAAACAAGTTGTCCTTTTGGTACTTTCGAACTGTACACCCTTTCCGTGCTCTCCAACATCGAGGTACAACTAGTGAACCCATTGGGCGGTCATCGGAAGCCAACTTAGCAGTCCATTCTAACCAATACTTGAATTATAGATGCTTCAGGAGTGAGTATGTTTTGAACTCACCAGGGTAATTACGCCAGGACAGGAGGACGACTGTTCAAACGAGACTGATGTCAATATGGACCATTTAGAGATATCAGTCATCAGGTCTCTGTGCTCGGAAGTCAAAGAACGTTACAAATGTCAACACCTGCCTGTCGAATTACGGAGATGTGACCGGATCAGGAAAAGCTCCTACACAACGGCGATCGGTCGATCTACGATGTCTTACACAAGGACTGATGGCCATTCATTTACAATCTTCCAGCACTCAGTTGGTGAAGTAACTTTGAAAAACGAGTTTCACACTTAAACTATCTCACATGTCTCACTAGCTTCACTCTTCGCCACACTCAACTTAGTTTTAACTCCTTCGATCGGGAATCCAAGCAATCGGTACTTCGAATTCATACCAGTTTTGATGTTTTCACTGATTAGATCAGGTAATTATTTTGATGCACGCCGGCAAACCTCATCTTAAGCTCGTGGATCTAGTACCTATCTGAAGCCTGCGCTGCCTTCCATATGCAAAAGCTTGGTCACCCTCATGTCGTTTATCGAGCTAGATCAGTTTACTTGAATGAAATTGAAATCATTGAATACAGCGCGACTAAATAGGGGTTGTCTCATGAGGTGGCCGAACGTAAAGAAGGATCTTTGCAAATACCCACTGCCAACATTGCGAAATAGTTAGGTACGCCGCTGCAACAGTAGTTCAATCCCTCACGCTTCAACGGTCAGGGACGAGGTGAGTGAACGGCCAGTGCACTGAGGACGGTCACCGAAGGTCTTGCGCTTACTAGTCTTCACACACTTCCACTGCTTGTGAAATAGTCTGTAAATAGATCCTCAAAAATGACATTCTTATGTTTTGTTAGACCTCATATGGGTTCCCTAGTCGTAAGTGGTTGCGAGCTTTGTAGTATTTACATCCACATCACCCTCGTTTGAACAATCCTTCCGCTGCAGTTATTCTGGCTTGTCCACACCAGTATTTGTAAATAATTCGCACCAAAGCGTGAGACCGTTGGACTCAAGATTCACCTTGGCTCATTAGTAGTAAATATCTACAGTTGTGTCGGTACATGGTGGAGTACCTGAACCCTTACGTTTGAACAAGCGGATTTGATCGGCATGATTTCTTTGCACGATGTTTCGAATCTAATGACTACTCTGGTTGTGCCGATCCAGGGATTCGGGGTTCAAAGCCGGAACATGGTTACGTTTATGGGCTGTAAGAAAGCGTAACTCGAGTTTCGTTTTTTTCATTCTTCGTTGTGGGCTAGTTAGAATGATCGCCTCTTGACAGGTGGGGGCTATCCAGTTAAGAATGATGTGAATACAAACCATACGGATCTTGTTTTCATTATTGACCCAATTCAGGTGTCTGACGAGTATGGCTGGCAGAAGAACTTCCAGCTTTGTATTGAGTTGTGGTATCCTACCCGTCTGTTTGGTGAACCGCAGACTTTAAATAAATTCCCGCTGACATAGCCCGTAAAAAGTTCGGGTAGTCTTCTGGTGACTTGTTTCCATACGTGGGTTCATTGCCCCTCCATCGTCCAACAAACCCAGAAGATTCAATACTCCTTTCTCCGATATTTTATTTTCCCGCAGACCAACCGAACACAAGTTATCTATCATAACCTGCTCCAGATTCTGTATTATCGACGTTGCGTCGCGCCATCTGGAAGCCACCTGGAGTTGGGTCGAGCTTGGTCTTTCGGATTGGACCTACATCCTAGCAGCAGACATAGCAGTCAGTTCAGTGAGTTATTTATTCGTCCATTCTAACTCTTCCGAAGAATCCATTCCTGCAATGAGCCTGTTCTTCCACTGACTGACGATCGATGTTAATAACGGACAGTTGCAACGGGACCTCTTGTTTACACCAAACACCATTTCTCGCAAGCCCGCGACATATGTGCTCCGTGTGGTAATCTAAACGATGTGGTGTTCCGAACCGCCACTACTCAGTGCTCAATCATTGCAACTCTCCGGCGTATGCCTCACAGATGAAGTCCTTACAGGTAGTACGGATGTGGCCAGTTCCACTCCCGTGATAAATACCATTTTCACAACACTGTGTAACAGTTGCAGCAAGATTGAGTACATTAAGGAAGAATCGACTTCAGGAATTGTCATTGCAGCATTGAAATTTTGTTTAGTCGATAGTAGTCCAGAACTTCCTGTGAAGGTTCTAGTGTCCGGACACTGTTCTTGAATGCTTGATTTAGAAGCTTTAGACTAACTGCAGCCAAAAGTTACATTGCACACAAAGAATTCCTCCTGAGTGCACAGTGGCGGTCTGAGGTCTGCAACCTCGTTTCTTTGTGATCTGAGCACAATAAAATCTCAAAGATCATTTCTGCCGTTTTTCTGGAGAATGGGGGACCATTACAACTGTAGCAACGTATTTATGAAGACCGTACCATTCCGGTCCCAGCTTCTTCCCTCTCGTGTACTTCATGCGCATAGGTTGCTTCCAACCTAGTGTTAGGTCAAGGCAGTCTAGTGCTGTTATTACACTCAGATCCTCAAAGTCGGAATAAGTGCCCATATTATCTTGCCATTCGGTTTCCTCCCCTAAAATTGATTCGCCCTCTTCTATTGTTTAACCATTCCCCACAAAATCGATTCAGACTGCAATCAACTTTTGGCTGAAGAGCAAAGATGGTGCCATTGCATTCTTCTCCTATCCTTATCAGTCAGACCGTGTTCGATCAAATTCGCGCGGTTTTATGGAAGATTTCAATAACATCCAACAACAAATCTCAACCCTTTCCCTCTTGGCCAGGTATGTTACAAAGCTGATTGGTCATTCATTGGCCTTCATTTATTTTCCCCACTAAAAGATCGAATCCGAAGTAACGCATAAAATCCTGCCCAGATGTTTATTGAATGCTCAATTCGGTTAATGCAGCAATGCGTGCAAAACTTCTGGAATTGGTTGGACCTGCTGAAGAATTTGACAAGTTTAATGAGTACAGTGCTCCGGGATAGACTAATCTTTGTAGAGAATAGATGTGAGGGCTGGCACTGGACGTTACATTGGCCTTATGTACACAAATACACACACAATACATCCGCAGTGCTGATTAGAGAATCATTTGCGACGGACCGTGTACACTTTCAATTCATCCACGGTTCCTGGCCGGAGACTGTTGTCCCTATCAGTCTCTTTTGTCGCTCTTTTTGAACTTATCCAGATGGATTCACTGGTCCATATACATACTGTAGCGTACAGGATGCACCGTTGGACAAACCTAGGTCTCGTCGGGTTATGAAGGCTATCACAACTTCACCATCACAATTACACACTACAATTATACATGTTCAGGAAATCAACAGGATTGATGATCATGTCTAAACAGCCGGATAAAGGCCACAAACAGGGTGCAACCTATATTACAAAACCGTGATCCATATGTTTGTGCCTAGATGTCTCTACGTGTAATTCCAGAGGTCGTCAACCTCAGGGGGCTCAGCTTTCAAACAAAGCATCTTTTAGACGGTGAAAGGGACGCTATTTGAAAGAATTCATATCGTAATCTAAATTGCAGTCATCAAATATTATGCTGTCACTTTCAAAAGCGAACATCCAGGTAGGAAACTACGCATTACACACATGGAAGTTAGTTAACCAGAATGCCCGCGGGTACCCCATCGAATCATTCGCTCCTCCAGTGCGATCAGTGAGCTCAGACACCAAACCGTTCAACTACCACCGTTTGCATACACAGTGCCCTTAAATTCAAGGTGTGATACTTCAATGATGAATGCTCACCATATAAGGTCTAGAAATGAAGAGTTAACGTAAATGCTTCTATTAGACCACATTTCGATCCACGTACTGGATTGGGGCAGGTGATAAGACATTTTCACCTCATGTCGATACCACTAAACTTGTCTGTGTGTGATTTTCACTTTTTCTCCAACACTGGACTCCGTCTGCTGTTGTGATCATCTCACTTGAGTATCTCGTTAGTCTCCTTATAAACCATGATATCCCATGGTCACTATCAGCCTTCGAATGCACTTTTATTCCAGTTGCCACTGCACTTTTTTAACGGTGCACCAACACCGTATAGCTCCTGTGTTTTGACCATACGACACGACTCTCATACGTCTGAGCTTGAGTTCCAACGTGGAATACCCTAGGGCCATACACCGAGGAACTATGAAAACATAAACTGATCCGTGTTGCAGAGAAAATTCATTAAAATTGTCGCTGTATAAGAACCGCATATGGTGCAAGAGCAACCATATAAAGTTTTTGTTACGAGTTCCCGTGCCGAAACTGCGTTATACTGTCAGGCTTAGTCACACTGGCGAACCTTTCTGCCTAGTACTGTTGTGTGATGAGACCATGCTGCACGTATACTGAAGGCATAAGGCACGGTTCGTAGAATATTTCTCGGGATTCTATGACCATATGTATTAGACGTAGATAGATTTATTATTGACTATTACTATTATTCATGAATGTATTTATTGATATGAATAATTATTTACTCACAAGCTGGGATGACCTTTTATTGCCAGAGAGGATCTTCAACCCAACTCTATTCTATGCAAGTCACTTCGTCGTCAGACTGAACCGACTCGCTCGAAACCGAAGTCGAAACCCGGAAAGTCCCTTAACCAGGCCATAACATTTGGTCACCCCATCAAATCTTCTGGTTACGCAAAACAGGAACCAAGGTAATCCTTCCATCTGTTCTTTTTGTCTACTTGTTTAGGGACCCCATGTTTTCCTCTATAGTGATATCCAATTTCTCGGTTTGTCAGAGTTGAGCCCTGCTGTGAGTCATTTTTCATGGACAAGCTTATAATTGGTGTTGGGTCACGATAATACTCCGCTTTTGCAAAGAGTTTCTATGCTCTCAGTCCCTTGTGAACAGCATTGACATTTGGGATCTTACGACCAACACACTTATGCCAGATGACTGAGTTCAAGTAAGTTAGTGTTGTAGCGTGGTTGGCTTCAGTGGCGCACTGAGGTTCCACACTGGCAAAACGATTAAGGGCGATATCGCCTGCGACAAGCTCTATTTACTCAGGCTTCTTTGGTTTACGCTAATCACCATAACACTTGGAAATGGTGTTGACGGTTGATTTTGGTGTGTCCAAAACCACTCTACTAGAGGCATTCGACCAGTTTGTTTGTCCAGTTGTTGCCTGCAACCGTTTACTTTGGATGGTTTGAAATGAACTTGTGGTTTGGTAAGGCTAGTGGGTAGGATATTGGACATAGCACACTACTTAAGGTTGCTGAAAACTCTTCGACAGCCCACGACCGGTTTCGCTCTTCTTAGGGCTCATCAAATCGGGGCGCAGTCCCCGAGTTTCCGTCAACCTTCTATCCTGATTGAACGAAATTCGACAAATACACTCAATTTAGTTTAGTTAGTCACTTAAATTCTAGCTGAATTTCCCGTTTATGAAGTTCCACTTCAACTGAATGTGCTGCACCAGACCGCCTCATGTTTCAGCTGATACGCTTTTCGACATATCGCAGTACAGTGTATAGACGTACTACAACTCATGAGGTTGTTGAAAACTCTCCGACAGCACGCGATTGGTCCCGCCCTTCTTGGGAGTTTTGAAGTAAGCGAAGAATATGATTACGAGAAATTCAGTTGGGATCCATTACTCAGCAGAGTGGACCTCACTTCTATCCGTGTATTACACTACTATACTACCCGTGTATTATATACAGGAGATTGCTCAAAGACTTCCATTGGTACATACAGCCAAAGTTCAGAATCAGTTCGGAATTTGCAGATTTCCTTGAGGCGAACGTGTGATAATCGTTACCTAGCTGAATCTAATATATGAACGCCTATGTGATTTGGTGTATGAATTCCAATACTTTTGCTTCAATCCACAATTCTAGGCGCAAAATGTTTCAACCGCTCACGAATACTCGGAACAACATTAAAACAAAATCCACGGGTAGCGAAACCGAGTGTGTTAGGTAAGTTTCTTATTGCACAATATAGACCCTGTATCCACATCACTCGCGTTCGAACAGCCGTGTTTTATTTTAGCATGATTAGTCTGGTCACTTCAGGCCAAAGGGGGAACGTTATGCTCAGGTTTCGAATTTGTTAGATCCCCCAGGAAGTGTGTATCCTCGGTCATGACTAGGTTTGAAATCCCGTCATCTAACATGCTCATACGCAAGCACGTTCGCCCACTTAAATGTGACACTTCAACTATCTGGCGTGCACCGACAGAGTGGCCGATAATGTCTGGGACGTCGGATGACCAGTCATAATCCCCGTACGGCTGAATATGTTACTTACTGATACGCCCCAGTAAGGGTGAACCTCGAGTCCAATACTCATCGCCTGTTGTTGATAGATGGTTTTTTTAAAGGGGAGTAGTACAGATATAAACTCAACATTTTTCACAACTATCCATAAATAATGATTTTCACATTGGGATATTTATCCTGACAACAATGTTTACTATTGTTTTGTGCAATGAAGCCAACTCAAGAAGACCTACACGCCTTCCGACGATGCCCCCAATGTACCCAGCTATTCTGGAGCTGTGGACGGTTCCAAAACTCCCATTTATTCTTTGGCCTACTCACGTAAGATTTGTTCGTCCCTCTGTTATAAAACTGCAACGAATTTCATAAGGTCCCTCCTGAATATCTAACCCTTATGGCTCCTGTATGGATGTTCAAACAATCTGCTCCACTGCCTACCAATTTATGGAGCATTAGACGGTATACTTTTGCTTGTCAATTAAGCATTTGAGATAAAGCTCTGTAATTTTAATCCATTTGGAAAGTTAGGATGACAAGCCGGGTTAAACTAATCGAAATGGTCAAATCCTGGACAAGAGTAACTCTTCTGTCAGTTGAGTTCAACTATCTTGATGACGGAATGATCGCTTTGCATCAGTTGTTTTCTATAAGCTTTGTATTGAACGCATAAGTCTTCCATCCAAAGTTCCTTTGCTAATATGGTCGAAAGCTAGTAAGCATAAGATGAATGTGGAGACAGATGTGGGTGGCCGTTGTCAGATAAAATACTAGTTAAAATGGACACAAACAGGTTCGATGCACTGAAAACGTCAACACACTAATTCTTGCACTGTGCTGTTGGTGCGAACAGTTTGAATTTTTTCATAAGGTCTGGGTTAACATCACTGGTGGTGAACGTGGTACTGCATAGTTGTCCGCAACACAAGCATCTGTCTAGCTTGTGCAGTGGTTGGCGACCCCTTAGTGGGCTGAATCCAAATACTAGAGTTCGTATTGGGAGCAACCAGTCGTGACGCATCGCGATAACCACTTTCAAATCTGATCCTTAAGTTCTCCTGTCACCATTTAGAACTTGATGGTAATTAGACAAGTGTGGTGAAATCAACCAACAGAAAAGGAGTACTTACCAGAGTTTGGTACCACCTAAAAGTTCTAAGTCCAGTCGAGTCACTCGGGGCCGTTCTCAAACCACTACACGACAAATCGCGAATTTCGGACAAGATAGGTCTCAGTTTTCATAGCTTAGCCGACAGTGTATCTATCTACTCAATGCATTGAATGTTTGATCTGAAATGGACGATTTTTCAAGATGACTACCTCATTTACCAGGTATCCGAACTCCACCGGTGGATTCGAATCAGGCCCTAATTGAAGGTGAAGCTGTTTCCGTGGTGTTTAACTGAACTATGACAATACCGCTGACAGACGGATGTCGTGCTTACGCGTAATAGATGATGCTCTTGAAAACTGCATATATTGACCACTATTCGCTGCATCAAAACGGTTTAACAACCTGCCTGTATGCTCATAAGTGAATGCGCAGCACCGTAGCATGTCAGTTAATGCGATGGCAAGGTTGGATGTGCCATGGGATATGACATATAAATGCCTTACCCACAGGTAACGCAGAAAGCCGTTTTGCTAATGTGAACTATGAGCAAGAACATATTCCAGCCGTTTCAAGGAAAGTCCTATTGAAGCTGGAAGTGCAACAGTATTGTAAAAGAACAAGCAATTGATCGACAAGTCAGTGGTACCCAAGAGGCATGACATTTAGTGCCCTGCTTATGTTTTTAAAAACGTGCCATGTGTAGAAGAACTTGTTAAGTTATGATAGCCGCTTAGGGTGCTAGAACAAGTTTGGGGCAGCGACCTGAAATGCCATTATCGTGTTTTTGTATTAGAGATTTTGCGCACTACATGGCGCCGTTTTAAATCCACACTTTTGCCGGAACTTGCTGGCCGAAAGGCCTGTGGTTCATATTCAACCCAAGCATCTCGACTACTCTTGTCCAGGCTTGGGCAGCCTGACAGTATCTCAGCCATCATGCTTCCTTCGGGTGGCATGGCAGCTGTGCACTGAAAGGGTGTTATAGGTGAATGATTATTTTTTGGCGATTTCTTGATTCACACAGCAAACGGATCACGGTTAGCCGTCGCATTGGGCAGCAGTGTCTGTCTTGTGCTGCGCATCTCAAGATCCCAAAAAACACGATCCGATGCACAGGGCGTGGGCGCAATCCCTCCTGCAGAGACCCTGTGTGGCCACAAAGGCCCTGTCCTTTGTGCATCTTGGTCCTCAGATAGTCGCTTGCTGCTGACCAGTTCGGCCGATCGGACAGTACGACTGTGGATGATGAGTGAGCCGGTCGGATTATCACGGGGTGATGCGTCAAAGTTAAGTATGAGGTTAGCGATGGTTGTTGATTCAGTCAACGGCGGTTCGACAAACTGCTACGGAGAACCTATCTCAACCCAAATTCCAAAGGTAAGTAACTTCTTCACGCAAATCTACACATGGGCTTCCGACTATGTTTTGGTACATATGCAGTCCTAATTTTCTTCTTATCCGTATGACCCGAAAGATCTACCTATTCACGTGCGCCCCTCCTTAACATTCTACCACAAAAACAGTTTGTTTCTTTACAGAAAGATAAAACATTCGGACCCAGCTCCGTGTTCCCAGACTGTATACAATTCGTCAACTTTCACTATTTGGATTCGTTCATCTACGCGGTCTGTCGCAATGCGATTCGCCTATTCTCCTACGAACTGGCTAGCGTTACAAATGTTTTGGACAGGTAAGTCACCTGGCGATCAGGTAGATTCTCCGTGTAGGACCTGAGAACCACAATGTGTGAGCCACAGCGTGGGCGAAAATTCACATTCAATAGTGTGGCTCAGAACAGGTCGGTGAGACTAGCCTCTGCATAAGGTTGTGCAAGCCTGCAGGTACTCCCTCAGGTGACTCTCTCAATTTAAATAGGAAATACCACGACTTCGATAGCTGGTAGTCAGGGTCACTCAACGACACACAGACGTTTCGCACCTTCATATCTTCTGTTCCTGGTACAACTCATAATGACTCGCACTGATATCTAGTGCATGTGAAGACAGTGAAGGGTGAAAGATTTGAAACAATTATTGGTTATTGGTTTTTTATCTGTTCGCCGAGCTTGGTAATCGAATTGCAAATGATTCGTCACCCTACGATGAGACATAATCCGTGTGCAGTTGGGTGATTACTTCCTGTATGTCTGCTTGCCTTGGTCCATTTATGGGTCAATAAATTCCGGAGACACCGTCTCCGAATCAACTAGTCACCTTAATAATTAACACGTAATCTTCAAACGTTATATTAACGCACTCAGGCAAACTAGAAGTGCCACCCGACTACCCATCGACGATGATGGTGAAACGTTTGCAAGTTTGTCGCGAAGCTCGGCGAACATATCAAGAGCCATCTGATCAACAGCGAATAAGCTCAACTGAGCTGCCAATATTTGGACACGTGAGATAGTTTTCACAGGCAACCTGGTAATTTTTACTCGCACAGAGCCTCAGTTCCGGGAAGTGAATAAAATCTTTTTAATGCTGGCGGAAAGCATGAGTTGAACACAGTCTAACGAGCAGGAACTTTGAAATACTGTTGTCTCTCCCTGAGGAGACCGTCCCACAGATGATCTCGATTTTGGCTGGTCTCTTGAAGCTTCTGTTGAATCTTAGGAGCGTTGAGGGACAATTTCTCGACCCGCGTCATAGATCACTCTTTGCTGCGCCATGTGGTTGAAATTTCTTCCAGAAGGGACCGTAATATTGTTCGTTTTGATTGTCCAACGCCTTATCAGGTATCCATATTTTAAATAAGTTCAAGCTTAATGGAGGCTTATCGAATGGCTTGTATACATTGTACATTGTTTGTTTGTACTCGCTCATATGTGAGATATAAGAATGAGATAGTGTCAAGTATGCTTGTTGGCTATACTCAGTATCCCACTCCTTCTGATCGCATCCAGAATTATCAGCGCTTCGTGCTTGTTGGCGTTGAGTGGATCAAAGCCCTTGCACACCTTTGGTTCTGTATAACTCTCAGTGAGGCGAATCTATACTGAAAAGCCGAGAAGCACTGTATGTCTCACCCCCTTGCACACCTTTGGTTCTGTATAACTCTCAGTGAGGCGAATCTATACTGAAAAGCCGAGAAGCACTGTACAGTTGTCTCACCCTTATTTAAAATCATCGGTAGTGTGCGCCTCCCGAAACTTCAGGGAGTTTCGAAACCGCGACCTGACTAGTAGTCGAACACTAAACTGTCAACAGAATATAATACAACGTGCAGAACTCTATTACGCAAATCTGCACTTTCTGTGGCACAGCTACTCCGGTCGAGTGTCCCTATTTTCACCCCAATAATCTGTTCTCATTGAGTCCAACGAATCGCGAACTTTTGCACGACTCGTATCTCACGTCTTTTATCCATTAACTGCTAGACACTCGAGGTGAGCGCAGTATCAGGTAGAGCAGCATTGGATTTCGTTTTTAAACGTTGGCTTCCTTCGGTTTTCGTATCTGTACTCATTGGTTTTCTTTCGGGAAATACGGCTAGTTAGGAGAGTCCAGTAACAGCTGGCCCCTTCAGAGCGGGAAAACTGTACCTAAGAATCAAGCAGGATGTGATCGTATGTAAATTTGAAGTGGCAGATAGAACCCGGGTTCTTGAACCCTCTACAGCGCCTTGCGTTGAAAGGATTTCATGAGGATCAAACACGTTTGTCGCGAGCTCCAAACATATCAAGGTCGATATGCCGAACAGTGCCGTTCTTCATCAAGTTTGTTTTTGGGGTTATAGGGAACCATAGCTCTTCCGAAACTATCGTTGTATCGTTGATTCATGGTTATCTGATATCTCGACAGCTATTAACTTGTCTTTCACTACTAGATCCAACACCCTGTGCTTAAGCAATTTCATTTGTCTCAACAACCGAACCTAACTACTTACCTATCACGAACAGAGCTTCTTTGTTCGTAACTGTATGTTTATCACCACTCTCCCAAACCCTGCCCAACAGAGGTCGTTCGAACAGCACCTACAAACTGGCCGGAGAGTTTACGATTGAATCTTGTAACCGACTTACGGCTGTTTCTTCTGTCAACATATTTTACTCCTGTAAGTTTGTATCTTTTCAGTACACTGAATTGGGTTCCCTCTTGACCGTTTTTCTCGTCAAAACTAGGAACAATGAGGTTCAAATTCGCATCCTCGGTTTGCATCGATCTTGTTAGTCTGGAAGTTAGGCAACCGTTGGCTTAATCAAGTGCTGATTGGCTGGTAACGGCAGTCTCCTGGTTTGTGCAGTGCACCAGACACTTCTCCGAAGGACGTAACCGATTGAACAAGCGTCAATCCAGCCGAAACTTTGTGTGGCGAGTGCCTTAGGGATCATCCGGAATCTCCATACACTGCCAGATGAAGCGTTATGCGATAAAAATTAACAGGAAAATAGTACAACGGGCATTACGGGGATGAAACCCCTACATTCTTGTTTTACTTTCTGAGGCCCTTAAAAGTAGCGGTTCTCTATAAATCCAAGTAGCAAAAAGGCATTGTCTGAGGTGGGCGATCATTTCCCAACATGCAGTTTGCGGGTCTAACTACAGCGGCCAGAAGTCGCAACCTTGATTGCCGGGTTTTATTTATCAGAGTGAATTGATGAATTCGTCTTTAGCTATCTTCTGTTCAAGTATCCACTGAGCATTCCTATTAACATTTGTCCCGTCGCGTACATCATTAACCAGTAGATCCAAGTGAACCTCAATGGTCGGGTTACTAAGAATTTCGGGAAGTTTTACTGCTACGGTCTAACTTAGTGCAGCATCAAGGGTAGACTGAGCACTATCAACTGGGAGACTAAAGTGCCGACGTTCCGTCAGTGTAGCTCTTAAGAGAAGCGCTGCTTCAATATAAACATAATGTCGAGATATTGCTTTCATCCAGGACACAGCTTGGTTCATGCGATAGACCCACTGATACCCGCCATTACCTGAAGTAAATGAAGTTATTTCATCACATTCTCCGTGTACACTGCGATAAGGTTGGGATGGGTGCCAATCACACAAGTGCGGCAGTACCAGACATGGCCCACTCTGTTGTAACAAGCCACCACGAGCTTCTACTTAGCTGGTGCTCATCGCGATCTCTAGCAGGGCTTCACTTCTAGGTCCTGTTTTGCAGGACGAAATGAACCTGCCCTGGAAGGCCGAGGAACACGACACAGCTGTTTAATCGCCGTTGGGAGTCATAAGCACTCTATGATTGGAACCCAGAAGGAATTCAAACCGGAAATACACGGTATATTAGCTGTGAACAACAAATAGCTCCTCTTAATGTGCCCTTCAATAGGATATAGTGCAGATGTGTACCACGTGGCAATCATTCGTACGAATTCCAGAGGACCATTCTTTTTCAGTACCATGTAGACCTCCCCAACTAGTTGTGACCGGCGTACTGCAGACGGTTTTCCACAAGGATCAACTGACTATGGTAGTTCCCGGTTTGCAGGAAGAGCGCAATAGTNTCCACAAGGATCAACTGACTATGGTAGTTCCCGGTTTGCAGGAAGAAGCGCAATAGTGGAATTCTTGTTGACCCTACACGACACTAGTACACCTGCATCCATACAACCAAGGCTCAGTTGGATAACGGAAACGTCGACTCACAATGCATACAAATTTGGTGGCTTACCTCACCTGGCCTATGCGACCGGATTCCAGCAAATCAGTGTCTAGTATGGTCTGGTCCACTCCTCCCAGAATGCACGCATATTTGTTCCACGCCTCCCTGTTATGACGCTACTTATAAAGACGAATTTTTCATAACCTCATAGGATAGATCACGGAAGGTACTTTGACTCCTTGAATATCGTGCCAATCGAAACACGAAACAGCCTTTGGAGAGTACAATCAGCTGAAGATTATATTCCACACCATTTTAAATGGCAAATGAGAGTTCAACTCCACAGAGATCTATATCATTCAAAATAGATAAGCTTCGATATGTCATTTCACATCTCCGTTTTTTCCACAGATCTATTGTTGTGCGCCGGATCCGACCGTCAGTTATCAGTGCTGGACCTTAATACAAACCAAACCGTGTACCAACTGGATTCCGCACACGCAAGAAATATTACTGCAATAGCACTGAACCAAGTGAGTTATCTTGCTTAGGGGTTTAGCACTCAATATTGTGAGAGTAATGCCGCACAACTGCGTTTTCGTCTTACATAACCGCGTACATATTGTGGCGAGTTTTCATTTAATAAGGTTATTACTTTGTTTAGTACTAACAACTACACTCCCGTTAAATAAGATTCCTGGGCACCCACCTTAATTCAATCAACCAGCCAAACTTGAGTAGCAAAACTGAGAACCTCAGTAACAGAACTAAGAAAAAATCCTGTTAAAATGAACTTATTTACCTGGTTAATTTTTCAGCATGGCGAAGATATTATCAAAGTCCCGAGAGAGATCCTCATTTCCGCGAAGAAGAATGTGACTGATCTTGAAAACCCGTCAATCCACCGCTCGTTTCTTTCCAACTGAGACTTATCAGGCGAACAGAACAGGACCAGTCGCGAGCCGCTTTAACTCACAGTCTTCACCGTCCATCACAGTACCACTCGTCCACTTATGTGCATGGCGAGTATGAATTAAGAGGACTTTCCTGTTTCATTCATGTGGTAATTCGTACAGACAGCTGACTACTTCGGCGTAATCGAATGTACCTTCTTAGGTTTCCGTGGATAAGCACCAATCCAATGAAAATGATCTTAGAAGCCTAATGTGCTCAGTTCTGATAGGCAATCCATAATGGGACTCATCCGGTAGATGCAACAGGATCGACTGCATGTGGTTTTGGTTAACAGTCTTCATAACACTGAGGTGATTTCTTGCCACATTCCGTGATAAATTATAATTCATTGGCTTCGTGTCTGCCAGACCCACCACGGAGAAAGTGAAAAGTTAGGAATTTCCACTTGACTACTTCCAACTGGTCAAACTTCCTAACAAGTAAACTGCATGGGCTGAAACGAGAAATCACGTCGATTCGGTCCAACGAAATTCACTTGGGAACGAACGTTATTCCCTACCCCAGCGAGTTCACGATGGATGTTGTGTACTGAAGACGATACACTTGTCCCATACACGTGCCAGGCCGAACGAACCGCACAGATTTTGGTGCTCAAGAGTCGTAAAAACCCATTTGAATTGGTTCGGCCGATGCCCGTGCTCAAACGCCGCGTGTGAGAGGCATTTTACCATTGAGGAGAAATAAAAATTTTCACGATACCGCTGTGTGATTGAGTGCATTGAGCGGCTGCATCTGTTTTTTCCTAACGAATTTAAAACAAAAATGTCTCCGAAATGCATTTGCATTTGCGTAAGTTACCTCGGGGTTTACAAAATAAACCAGTTCGTTCAGTCATTCCCTTACATTCCCACGACAGTGTTTGGAAATAGCAACTGCGAGGAACAACAACCGGAACGAAATGTTTCCCCAGAAAAGAGAATTTACTAAAGTTTCGTTCTCACCTTAGTATTACGCGCACATGTTGGTCTTCCACCTGTGCAGCATACACCAAATTGTCCTTTCTCGTTCAGTTGTAACGCCCTATCGGTGCCTAACTACCATGCCACCCGAAGGTTGCACGAGGGCTGGGATACTGCCAGGTTGCCCAAGTCTAGACAGGGGAGTTCGAGAGAGAGAGAGAGTTCGAGGTTCGGATTCGAACCACGAACCTTCCGGTCAGTAAATTCGCGCACCAACCACTTGGGCCATCTCGCCGCCATTGTCCTTTCTGCGAAGTTGCTGGTCGCTTCAACCAGAAAACAGCGAAGAAGGTCGAATGAAAGTGATGAATAATTTGACCGTGACGCGTATAATAATAATAATACCGAGTGAAATGCTTCAGAAAGTCGGTTCCAAATCGGACGAAAATTTGCGGATAAATCTTATAAGGTCCTGTGGAAGTTGATGTAACCATAATGGAGAACCGGAAAGTTAAACCCGAATCTGATGCTAAACATCCTCAGTTTCAATCGACCTCAAATGTTGGGTGCTGAAACGTAACCGGTACATCTCTTACTGACGCTCCCAAGTAGTGATGGGCGAAGGTGAATGCATTAACTCTTTCTGGTGCATGAGCACCAGATGGTATTACCATCTACCCTACAGAAAGGCCTTATCGAAGAAGGTACTGCTCTGTATGGGTAACAACAGCATTCACCGCCAGTCATAACCCAGTAAGCGAACTCGTCCCTCTCGAAAGGATGTCATCCGTATAAGGGAGACCAAGTACCTCAATTTCTCTGGTGGTCCTTCTCGAACAGGTTTGTATTATTGACAGGGAGTGGCAATGATCACCGAGCACGCACTGTATTTTGATAATAATAATAATAATAATAATAGTCGTTCAGCAGTAACACCCTTTCGGTGCCTAGCTGCAATGCCACTCGAAGAGAGCACGAAGGCTTGGGCACTGCCAGGTTGCCCAAGCATGTACAGGATAAGATGCAGAGGTCGGGTTCGTACCACGGAGGTTCCGGTAAGTCAATTCGCGCTCTAACCACTGAGCCATCTCGAGGTTCATTTTGGCCGAATCATGCTCCCATTGCAGTTTCGAGTACACACGGACGTCCCACTACATACCATTACAGGTATTTTCACAGTTTGTTGTCTCACGCCAACATCAGCTCAGTAACCATGAGGTCTCCAACTCAGTATAAAAGTTTGCGAGTTTGAAATCCACAGGATTCAACACAGGTGATAGGATATGCCTCGAAATCTCGTAGTACGCAGTACGCTACTACCATGGGTCAAACCTCTTAGTGACGAGTGCATTTTGAGTTACAGTGTTTGTTACCTCACCTGAAGTCGTTCACTTTTACTGAACCACCACTTTGTTTGTCAACCCGGTAGAAAATTCAAAATCCGGTGTTTCTATATCCTTCAATGTTTCAGGGTTCTCTGTATTCTAGTTTGACAAGTACGAGGAATGATTCCTTGTCCTTGGACCCCAGCAGAATCAGCACCGGCTACTCAACTTTCGCCACTGTAGCACCTGGGGATTGCGTCCGAATGTGGGACTTGCGTGATATGACCCGCCCGGTGATCCAGTTTACGAACCCTGATGTATCTTCAGGCAACACGACTTCCGGTGCTCCGTCAGATCCATTGGTACCACCTGTAAACGCCACTTTCAGCCCATGCGGTCGGCATTTGGCAGTCGGTGGTCGCGTTAACTTGGCTCAACCGTATCCGGTCATCTATGACACAAGGAAGCCTTGTTCCCACCCGCTTGCTGTTTTGAGTCTCAGCACAGGCAAGATACCCTCAGCTCCCTCCACTGTGGTCGCGTGGCACCCGTCAAGGGTTGAAGTGAGTGAATCGAGTTTTTATGCCATTATATTGCGCTTGGGTCCATGGCATCAGTAGAAGGACCAAAAGACATTATTCTAAGCTGGAAGTCTATCCAAAAGTATAGTTCTTATCTGATCGTTTGCTGGTATATCCTGGCGCTCCTCTGCGTCATTTTACGAATCGTATGTCTGTTCTAATAGGATCCAATTTAGTGTTTATGCTGATTTCACGTATATTCTCGGGATAGAGCTTCTTTTTTCTAAACATTTTACCACAACAGACGCAGTCAGTTTAGATTTTCGTGATTAACCAGAACGATGGACCAGTTTAATTTACCACATTCAAGAAGACAGTTGCAGATCCAAAAGGGTGGTTGGACATGATGTTGACACACTGGGAGCCACCTGAGTTAACTCTGTGATATTTCCCGACCACTGAAATCACACAAAAGATTACTGCGCAGTCCACGCAGTAGATCACTTTTTTGCTCGCTATTTATGAGAAACTCCGTTTTCACTTTCAGGTGGCCACTGGATCCCACGATGGTCAGCTTGCTACGTATGTTAGATGAGCGGACGTCTTCCATGTACCTTACTGCGGTCAGTGTAACAAATATACCTTACTCATACAACCACCTATTTTTGAACGCAGTTTGCAGGACAATTCCGGCTATATCATCATCACTCCAGAGAAAAAAGTGCCCCAAACAAAAAAGTAGAATCAGCTGCTACCATCCTAGGTTTCTATTTTAATGCAGCTGAATTCTGTGTGGAGATAAACCGGCTCAATGAACATATTCGTGGAAATCCGCATGAACTTTATACAGATGGGTCCATAAACGTATTAAGGTGATCGTTTGTAGCTTTCAAACAGCCAAATTCGGCCTTCAAGGTAGGAATGATATGCCTAGGAACATCATTGTATTCAAGGTTTGACCACTTCCCTGAAGGAATAGGACTAATGGACTATAGACCAGGGCATGATACGTGACACACCTCGTCAGTAGAGTTCAAAGAACGAATTTATCCGTATTTTACTAAACACTACAAGTATGCCGACTGATGTGACTCAGCTAATCGAGTCAGACAGATATTCTTCAGATTAATAAACTGTAGCAGAGGATGCTGCGGCGAGAGGAGCGTCTGTTCATCAGTAATTATCCGAGGGGACAAATCGGTTTTCACAACAGATCACTGGTCTAACTGCCGCAAAAGCCATAGAATGTACGCCAAAACTCATACGAGGGAACACTTCACCTCCTATGTGACGGACTAACATGAGAAACAAGTTTGGACGAATGTTGTCTGTTGAGACAAGGGACGACCATAGAAAAACTGCCAAGGATTAAGCACACTCAGCGACATCACATCAAATTTATGAAGATATCTGCATGGTAGCCTCACTGCAGTCGTGATGCATCGCACTCTTTTCCACGATAGGCACCTGCACAAGTTCCCCCCCCCCTCCGTTCTAGCGACAAACGGACCAGCCTTCCCGTTCACCATCCGTTTTTTGACAGTACGCATATGAAGGCGGATGGGAAAGCTACCGAGAGGTGCATGCACGTTCACAAACTAGCTAATTCATAACCTAAGCAATTGGCGTCAGAAACCGCAAACTACATAACTCTTTCCGTGGGTTACTAAAACCCTCTGGCGAAATTTATGTTGCTTGAGGAGAGGTGTTCCCAACACTCCTGCTATTTACACCATAGAAAGTAACATCCGGGAGCCACATATGTTTACCGCACAAATTTGTGAAAGCTATTACGCAAGGTAATTACAATGATAAACTGCACGCATTGAACAGATAATTTATTGGTTACCTTTACCTATCAGTGTCCTACAAACTGATAATTTCCGGGAAGTCGTATCGAATCTTGGCACTTCTCATCGATTTCGTCCTTCAAATTTGCGAATTTTTTGTCAAAGTCAAGAATATTTGGTCGCGCGGGTTAGGGAAAGCGGGTAGGTGACTGTGATTGCCAGGTTCACTGGCAACACCATCTGTGTGGGCGCAGTTTTGCGATGACAGATAAGTGTGTTGATCTGAGCCTGTCGTAACGGGGACAGGCTCTATTTGGCAACAGAGACTATTGCTGAGTATCTGCCCCTGCGAATAAATGGTGCGCAAAAGTAGCATGAAGTTAAGAACAGAAAAATACAGGTCTATACAGCTGTGTATTTTGATTCATATGGTGAAACAAGGGTCGCATCATTTTGTCTTCTTTTTCTTCCGACCAAAGGAGAATAGCGGATCACGGGCTTTCCGCTGAAAGGCAAGATTGAGGAGCGTTATTACTGGGATGGCAGAAAAAGAATGAAGGCTGTCAGTCAGGACAAATGGAGAGTAACCTAAAACCAGAAGGACTTGAAAGTCGATTCGTGATCCGTAATGACAGAGTTCGGATCAACAGTTGCGGGTCACATCACAAATATGCACGACTAAGCATCAGGCTGATCGGATGCCAGACTACTAATACTTTGTCTGGATACCTGAGCCAGTTTCCGCGAACTTAATATGCATTCGGATAGCTAGAGCAAGATGCCAGTTATAGTCCGAAACGGGTAAAAACACGCCCCGCCGAACTTCTACTGAACCAACCGTTCAGAAATAAGAGGGTATTAGTTCAGTCACGGATCTCAAACCGTTGACGTTTTAAAGAAAATTAAGCAATGTGTTTAGATGACAGTAGATCTTCCTGGACTCTGACAATGCGACAGGAAATAGTGTTAGTCTGTCCTCTAACCATTGACTAACCTAGTATCCCACATGTGCACGCCCTAGTATAGCTCGGTGGATTGTGGAGGCCCATACACTGTCACACCGCGATAAGGCCGTGACAGGAAACACTTTACAAGATACTACGTACAGCTACATAACCGGGAAGATGTGTGAAGCAGAACGCCTTCAAACGAGCTGACGGTGGCATGGAATTGAGCGCATTCATCCAACCCATTAGCGTTCGGTTTGTCAAACCTAGGAAGACGTATTCAGATTGAAGCACTTATCGCGGGCAGCCCGTGTGCTTCGAGTATCTAACAGTGTAGAAAACTTTCAGCAGGAAGGGTATAACAAGGACCAGCATAAATAATCTACAGTAATCTGTTGAGGTGGATGTCTGATAGAAAAGAGCACATAGACTTCGTTGCTAACTCAGGTCAAAAGCAGCTTATTCAAAATACCAATTTGGTGAGGCAAGTCGTCCAAACAATGCGGAACGATTAGTGTTTTTAAATAACTGGTGGCCAGTCCAACGGTGCTCCTCCCTTCAGTCAAAGAATCCAACAATCATGCGTTCCGGAAAACTAAATTTACCTTTCTGGCTTGATTGTGTTGAGCCTGCAAGGTTCGTTTGTTCCATTTTCTCTTGATTGTAGGCTTTTTCTCGGACTCCATAGTTCCAAGGTTCAGGTTTTCCCGTTTCCACCTATTACGTCCTCTGCAAGTACCCGAAGCACCGGGCATCAGTGCACGCAGTGGTTGAGGTACTGTTGGTAGAAAGTAAGAGAAAGCATCGTGAAAAAATCTATGCAGAGAAAACTTCAACAGGGGGGATATCCATAGAGAGAACCGAAATGTCTTCAACAGGAGTGTTTCTTTTTCCAAGGTTTTGTGAACATACACTTGAAAATCCAGAAACAACCGATGAGTCTACCCCAAGCCCACTTGACACCCTATTGAGGCCCAGGTTCCCGAAGGTTCGTGGTGTCCTTACCATTCGAGCGAATTGTGCATCCGAGATTTGGTAACCTGCAGCTAGTTTGCAGTGTCTTCGTACTGTTAAATCGCTTGTTTACATTTGAAACAAACAACATAACACTTTCTTTTTCTTTCCTTTCTTTTTCCTCTTTCTGACTGGTGCCGATCACTCTAGTTGAAACAGTCGCTGTTCCAGAGTTTGCCTTCTTTACAGCGTTTCGGATGCCCCGAATTAGAACCCAATATGACATGTGGTTTAGTTCTTGAGTAACAAGGTCTGTCCATAAAAGTCAATTGAGAAGAGATCATAGAAACGAAATCCCGAATGTTAATTCTGGCGTGTAGACACAGACGTACACGTAAAGAGGTATCGCGTTTCAGTTCCGGTGATGATCTTCACGAGAACAAACTCTGAAATTGTTGCCCGACAACACCGGCCTGAGATACAATGAGTAGGTATGAAGTGTGTTCGTTCCCGGTTAAAACACATTGAACCTGAATGACATTAACCCAAACTCATTCGTGCATAAGTTCACAAGTCTGTGGTGTATTAGTTAACCCCTTCCCCGCATTTTTCTCTGTCTCGTGGAGTTCCGCTTAGTGTACCTTGTCCAGTTTATTAAAATATCCTATTTCTTGGTGTAATTTCAACGATGAGCCTAGCAAAAATTCAAGGGTCCCTAACAATGAGATGTTCAATATTTGAGGCTCCTAATGTAAATATGTGTCTACGTCCAGAAAGCCAACCACAGAACTCCTTAAAGATTATGGCTCAGTATTAAAGGCCCATGCAGGACAAGAGAAGTAAGAACTACTTCCTCGCTCTAACATACAGTTTACGGCGTTAGTTTAACACACCAGCGTGAAATGCAATCCCAAGGGACATCTGTAATGTTGCACTAATGAGAACGATTGCTGGGATGTGCACAAAAGTTCATCTTTGTCCAGTAATCTACACAAATGAGAAAGCACGTTCGTACAATGGCTTTCAGTTAGACGAAAATGGAGTACAATCGTCTGACTATAGCGCTAGTTCGTTCATATGTCACACATCCGAAGAACATGCACCGAGACGAATCGCACTTTCCCAATTATTGTACGGAAGGTAGTAATCAACAACTGACGATAATACACCATGAGAGGTATAAGGGTATGGACTGTGCTCCAGGATACGAAGTTGAGACCTCATTTGCCCAATAATTAGAGAGTCCCATCGATATGTTTAAGAATCCAAATTCAGTGACACCCCTATATCTAATGAAGTTTTTCTTTCCCCAAAAAATTTACATCAAATTTCGTTCGATTTTTCAAGTGTTAGTTGTTTTGAAAACGATTTCCGTGCAAAGATACAAAATTCGTGACTGGAAAAGGCAATGGAAGAATGGTCTACCAGCATAAGTTATTCTCAACTTCTGTAGCTATCTCGTTTCCACGTTGAGAAGACCTGACAGTTTTCATACCATCCCAATAAACGTTCAAAGATAACTCAGTAAGATTGCCGATGAAATTCTAAAGGTAACTCTGAAAAGTTAAAATGTCCCAGGAAGAATCTAACGTCTGATATAAAATACAAGGGTCGCGCATTTCTCAGGACACCTTACTACGTTTGAATGTTTATCGAAACATTTTGAGATTCCTCCCTTAAGATAACTCGAGGGTTTTATGGATAAGTTTTTCGGAGAATTTTGGTGCGTAGTATAATATGGAAAATAGCGTAATCCTAAGTCTTTGGTTGTGTGCAAGGTATCAACTTAAGAATTGTCCCAAATAACTTTCCTCGAATAGCAACAGAGAACGTTGATTCAACGCCTGTCCTATGTCTAATTGACTGGACATGGTGAGCCGTTTGAACGAATGCGTTTGGGTCTGTTTACAGCTCCTGCATTTTATCGTTCGCTTGCTTTTAAAAACC